TGCCACACTTGCTTCTCTTTCAGTAATTTCATTCTATTTTTGCAGATGAAATTGTTTCGTAAACCTCAAGAACGAGCCGAACGAATATTCAATATATTAGTGTACCACATAAAAACTCATTATGACAATGGCTATCGGACGTATAGTGCATCGGAAATACGGCTTTCGGTAAGGCAAATTCAATTCTATTTCTCGCGATTTTTCTATGATGTCTCACATTGTGTTTTCTTAAAGATTCTTCAATGTTTCCTCAGTCTGCGAGCTGACAACGTCTAGGCCTTGTGCAAGACAAAAGTAGAAAAGTTTAATTCACTTCGTATTTTGTTTGTTCTGAAAGAAAATGTTGGTTAATGACGATAGTGCCACGTATGTCAGGTATTCTGCTTCCAAAATTCCTTTTCTTGTTTGCGTAATACATTCTCATTTTTGTTTTAGTTCTGCAGAAGATAAGACAAACGGGATTGTTTCACTGCCTTACAGCGAGGCGATGAATGTTATTCTTGTGTGCTTACAACAGGTAAACTTTTTATCATAATATATCATCTGGCATTAAGTTTCGATTGAAGTTCAACTTTCTTCATTTTCTAGGAATTGGAATGGGAGGTGTTGGATGTTCTTCTGAGGAACTTTCCAGAGGCACTGCAAGATAAAAACTTGATACTTTCTGGAAAGCAATATTTACGTTCAATATCTACAGTCTTCTCTAAAATGGGAAGGGAAGTGAAGTTGTGTACTTTTCACACCAAAATCATGAACTAAAAATTTTACTTTGCATTCAGGTTTCAAATTACGATTTTCTTGGATTATTTCGTGTTCCTAACGATATGCGCCGACCTCATTTGTACGCTAGAATTTTTCCAGTACGGTTCTTATCAATCAGTTTTTTGCATATATCATAATATCTTACCATAATTATACCAAAACCATACCATACCATAACCATACCATATCATATAATCATATCATATAATCATATCATATAATCATATCATATAATCATATCATATAATCATATCATACCATAACTAACCATAACTAAATCATACCATACGATAACCATATCTTACCATAATAATATCACACCATACCATACCATAACGAAATCATACCATACCATAACCATGCATATCATACCATAATTATATCATACCATACTAATGATTTAATTGGATATTTTATTGTAACACGTGCAGGTATTAACGGAGCTGTGTACGTACCACATTTTTATTGGTCAAGATGAACAGGTAAGAATCTGCGTGACTTTATTTTCAGCGGTTGTCTGTTCTTGCTTAAACGTTGTTGTATATTTCGTCTAGTGTTGTCTATGCGTACTTGGTTGCTCATTTCGCGACGTTAAGCGTATCTTTCTCACCATATGTATGTTAGAAATGCCTTCAGTTATGGCAAGGTATGGCTACTTAAAATAGTCTGGAATTTGAGACGTTTTTTTATTTCCATTAGCACTTTGTAAGAATGAAGTTGATTTAAGTAGTTGCAGCGTTTTAGAAGTTTATTTCTTTGGAGATATTTGAAATCGTGCCTTGATAATGTGCTCAGTGAATTTACAGAAACGTTTTTCAATAAACTCCAGCCTAAACGTAACGTCTCTTGTGATGCGAGATACTCCTTCACAAATATATGATTTTTTAAGTAATAATTACTAAATTTTCTGTCCTTAGACTGCTCCCACAATATCTGGAAAAGTTTACTAAACTTTCGCCAACGTCTCAAGTTGCCATACCACTGCTAGAATTTCCCTCTGGTATGTTTCTTGAAGTTACGTAAATTATGAAATCTGTTACAAAATATCAATGTACCCCCTAAAGAGAGCTAGGTTGTGTAAACACACAATCGTATTCGGCGAAAAGTTGGTAACATTCTTTTAAATCGTTTAAATCGCATTGTAACAGCTTTGTGCTTTGTACAAAAACTTCACAGCGATCCAGTTGAAACAAGTCTTTGGAATATGTTTGCCTTACACAGAATCATCGAAGTTGGCTCAACGCGATAACATCTGAAACTTTTTATTATTGGTTTTGTCAAAATGATTAAAATATAAACGAACTGATATGTTTCACCTTAGATACTCTCAATACACTGTAGCTCTTGCTGATAATGTCATTTCATCCTGGTTTGTCAACTGTCCGCTATTGTTAAGAAAACAATTCGTGCCATTTATTACGAAAGTAAGTCCACATGTCATTCTATTGCCAGGGGGATTGCTTGCTGAATTTTCAATAGATATATTTGCAAGAGCGACCAAGTTTTAATATTCTTCTAGTGAAAGCTCTTAGGAACGTATTTTCATTTCCAGGCTTCTTCAACTGATAGAAAAACTCGTGCAGATGATTCTAGCCAGGTGCCAAACACAAAATTCGATACCAAAGCATCTGACCTTCTTACCCGCGATTTAAAGCCCACTGGTACCGTAGGCTCAGTACAGAAATCTTGTGACTCAAACATCTTGTGACGACCAGCGGTGGGAAAGACTGAGATTTATGAAAGTTTAATTCCAAAACAACTCTTTGGTAGGTCAACGATGGGTCAAACCTGTTCAATGTTTCGTTGGGCATTCCGTTGGCGGAATGTCAAATTGATATTGTTGTATTTCAGATGATTTATCGGCCGAACTCATTAAAGAAGGAGCCAGACAACGCCTTGAAACTACAACAGAACTTCTTAGCAAGAGCACAGACAGCGTACATTGATTGTAGATCTTGTCAAAGATCGCCTCGCATCGTGTAGAGAAGATGAGGAAACTAATATTGAAGATACCCGGGATGATGTTGAAATGAAGAAAACCGAACTCAAGGAGTCAGGTTTGTAATGTTAAAACAGATCGGCCATTGTTCGCGCATTTACGAAATGAACAAATTATCTGCCAACATTTTAGACAGCGCAGAACAAAAGATGCTGCTTACAGAACACGGCAGATCTTCACCCTCGTCGATTTTATTACAAGATTCCGGTCAAAAGTTGAATCTTGGTTCGGCATTTCTTCAACGAACTCGATATTTGAGTCGCAGTCCGAGATATGGACCAAGCGCTTTTATGGTAAGAATTTCTCTTCAAACTCGCTTTGCATGAAATTTATTTCGTGCAAGAACATTCACTATCCATCCCTTATATTGCTACTAACATGACTGGCAGGGGAAGCAGAAAAGAAAGAGATCTTTGATTTAGACTAGCTTTTTCATTTTACAATCGTTTCAGATTGATGTCGTACCAGATTCCAAAGACACTGTTTTACACAAGGAAGAAACTGAAGGCAAGCGAAATTACCTTTGCAATATGGAGGAAATATATATTATAATATGACTATATTTACCTATTTTTCTTTCACAGGGAACAGTCAAGGCTTATTAACTCGTGAAGAGTTTCAAAAGGTAGCAATTTTAAGATCACGAATCATCATCGTGCATTAATCTCAACATCTGTTTAATTTTAGCCTGTTCCTGGTAAATCCCTTCTGGATGCAAGTCCTTTGAAAACTTTTTTGAGTTAAGACGAGGATAAACTTAATGAATCCGTAAGTCAAGTAATAATAATGATAAATTGGTCTTATACGGATTATTAAATACTGAGCATTATAAACCGGTAAACTCAGAAACCGGTAATCTCAATTTTGCACTTCGAATTACGTAATTTAATCCTTGTGGTTGAAGGTGAGGACTTGCAACGTTACTTATTTATTACAGGGTGACGATAGCGTGGGGAATTCAGGGGTCGGTAGACTTAGGGAAAGACACTCGTAATATAATAGATTTTACAAAATATATCCTTAGGTTTTCCTATGAGTTACAATAAAACCTTTACAATTGTTCATTGATGAGCTCAGAATGTTTCGTTATCACGTGGCCTATGCACGACTACTGTTAATCTGTTGTAACCACCTGCTGTACTGGTACGATTATTATCACACTTTGTTTGAGCTTTACATGCCCGGGGAAAACACTCAGCCACGTCGAGGTTATTAGCTAATTCCAACAGCTTGTCGTAGTATTCATTGTGGAATAAATCTACAGAGGCACGTAGTTTTGCCATTTCATCCTTTAAAAGATTAATCTGTTATATTGATTCCGCAATATCGATTTTTTTTTCTTCTTTAATTGGACCGTCAATGACAAAGTATGTTCCAGAACATGTTGAGTGATAATGAGAGCAGCCATAAATTCAAATTTCTCCACGTTGCGAAAATGAGACTGTGCGTCACTAGCTAATCTAGGAAATGGCCCTTCCTGCGATCCTCCAAACTGCATAAAATTGAGTGTTTCGTAGATAACTTTGAATGCATCCAAACAACCATCGCGGGATCTTATTCGTTCTACCCATCGTGTCATGGAAGGCTTTGCGAGCTTGTTACGGGTTAAACCAAACTCTTTCATCTTTTTACTTAGATACTGTGAGCGGATAGGGAAACTGATAAAAAAGCTGGCGATATTTTGTGCCTGACTCAAAATATTTTTCACTGGAAGAATTGAACACGCTTTGGCAACAATAAGGTTTAAACGATGACTGGAGTAATGAACATGCAACGCCTTCGGGTTTTTCTCTAATATTCTCCCAGAAATACCTTTTACCTGGCTGGACACAGCACTAGCACCGTCATATCCCTGGCCTCGACAATTTTGAAGGAAAGCCCAACATCTTGAAGTGTACTTTGACTAATGAACGGAATCAAATCCAAAGGCGAAACAGTTCGGTATACAAATGAAAATGTTCTTGAATCATGTAAAACTTCAAATTTATTCAAGTTATGTTATATAATTAATAATGCATAATATATTTTATGTCAGTTCCAGTAGTTGTTCATCTCAGACCTTGAAAGAAAAAAAACAAACATTCCAAATACTCCAAACACTCCAAACACTCCATGTCTTCTGACCTGGATTCAAGTTTACTGCTTTTATCATCTTTTTTATTTCACGTTTCCATTTTGAACATGTCCAATTGCAAAAAAGTATCCAGCCGACTTAAAATAGTTATATTTTTGCAGTTACTTTCCAGAATATACCGTTTGGTTAAGACTTGTGTATTATAGTATATCATAGTTTTAAAACTTCTTTTTCTGTCAGATATTTTCAATAACTAGCTATCGAGACCATCCTCAGTTGTTCGGGCTGGAATACACAAGCGGTCAGCTGAGAAATTACTCGTCTTCCGACAGGTAGTTTAAAAAAGCAGATTTTGTATGAAGCTATATAAAATATTTCTTGTTCTGAATGTTTGTATTTCACTCAATCTAGGGATATATCATTGGCTGGTTAGCTACACGGGGTTAGAGGCAGTGGAAATGGAGATGTTTGTGTAAAAACGACCCCAACGAAGAGACGGTACTGTACGCTTTTTCATAGATGATTGAGCGAAAATTATAGTCAAAATTTTCCTGATGAAAATCTCGCACTGCTATGATTGCCGTAAATACGAACCCTCATTTCATTCTCCTCCTGACGTATGGGATCTCATATAACACACAAACAATTACACTTCTCGTCAGGTATTCCTATTAGTCAGTCCAATACATCAAATACAGCAAAAGAAGAATTGTTTTTTTAAGATGATATATTTTTCAAGGTTATCGTTGGGGTCCATTGTATAACGTTGTTGACGAAGAAGTAGAAAGCAGTGATTTGAAATTCCTCGCTGCGTCTCCAGGTGAAATATTTCTCTTTTTATTTCACTTTAAATTTTTGAAATATCTCCAAAAGCTTATATTGTCTTATTACTGGTTCCTTGCAGGAAATTTAACCGAAGATGTGTAGAGATTTAACTGCAATATTTCCTACAGCGGTCTACTTCATGCAGTCACCCAAGACGTAAGTTGACAATTTCTTATTTTGTACTTTTCTGCAGACAAAATGCTGTGTAGAGAATATTATTGCATTTTTACTGAGATTTAATGTTCTGTCAAAATCTGGATTAAGGCTGTTTTCCACTCACGTGTTTTTCATACGCACGTTAGTTTTCTGCATATTTTAGTATGCATTAGTTGACCTAGATTTACAACAATAATCGTTATAAAGGAAGCGAGAATAATTTAAATTGGCAGATTAAAGCTTATTATAATCATAACCATGTACGCACGGACTCGAGTTTACTTGATAGTCGATAGCGTCGACAGCAAATGACATTGAAACGTTTGTATGGATATTTCGAAGTCCTGACAGTATAATTAATATCCCGTAGGTTATTTCAAGCAAATATTTGACTAGCGACGTCGAACAAGGCCAGTTAACCGCGTCGTGGATCGTAAACTGACCTCAATACAGAAAGTGGGGACAAAATAGCCAAAATACAAAACATTTTGTTCTAGGCCTCTCAGTTCCCGGCTCGCTGGGTATAAGGAACGTTAAGAGGCCTAGGGACTACGCTGCGGTAACTCTGGTGCTGAGTTGACTGGGTCCGAATCCATGAAATGGTAGATTTGAATTTTTCTCGCCAGAAGTACGGCTGGAATATTAAGTCTTTTAAACTCCAATATATATTTCAAACGATTTTAAATATTTTGTAAGGATTTTTACCGGAGAATAAAGAAAGACTTATCATTAATGCCATCACAATGCTCATTGCTCACGAAGGTATTGTATATCTTTGCCAATAAATATATTTAGTGTTCACCCCTAAAATACATATTCTGACTGCTATTACCTTCACAGGTATTCAATATATACATAAAATAGTTAAAATGTTTCGTCTATTTGCAGGAGACCAAAAGAAAATATCAGATAAAGATCTCGAAGCACTGTTTCACGCTTTGAGACATTAGGTTGGATCCAAAGCAGGTTTCACAACGCTCACTAGGTGAGAAACGTTTATCTTTAACCACAACACACGCTGTTTACTCAACCAGCTCACTTTCTCTAGACCGTGTTTCTGTTTTGTTTTTACAGCTTCTATGAGAAGGTTGGTGTGAAAACTGTGAAAGCTTTGAAGAGGAATAATGAAGCCGTGACTCACGCCGCTGTCGACATACTGTGTGCTCTGATGCAGGTAAAGAGAGGGCTTCCTTAAAGCGGCCAAAATGGTCAGACCGGTCATATTTAAATTTAAAATAGAGTATTTCGTTAAGAATATAGTTGCGAAATTTCCGAGCTAGACAGATGCAAGTAACGATATACTTGAACGCAGAGTTCTTGAAACACTCTAAAATACCAGTAATCTGTCTGTACCGAGATCAACAATAGGACCGGTCTGGCCGTTTTTTCCGTATAAAGGAAAGCGCCAACACTTTAACGATGAATTTCCTGGTAATATTTGCCAAATCTGTCACTGTCATTAGTGTTACCCCTTTAATTTGCAATCCACATAAACTCAGCCAACTTTGAAATCTGAATGTTAACAGGATCCAATTTTATCGAAACCAATTCTGTTTTTTTATATAGCCAACGCACGATAACTATGACATTCGACAAGAACAGATAAACAAAAGCTCTTTGTTATCCTCTGAAAAATTTCTAAGCAGTTTGTTGGAAATTCTCACGATAAATGTAATAAGATGTGCGGTGTTGGTTGCCTATAATCTATGCTGAACCCTTGCATTTTATTTTTCCATCCCTCTTGTGTGTATATAGCTTTGTTTTAGAAGAGAAATTCCCTTGCAAAACCCAGCAAGTGATTCGTAGCAACTGCCTTTCTAATTTGAACTACCTTTCTAACTAAACACAAGAAATAGATTAACCATGAAAACTTTTCTTCTATATTCGTTCTACTGGGATTTTAGTTATAAGTGGATTGCTTGATTTTCAAAATACTTGCTGAGATATTTAATGTTTTTCTTCTGTGCGACAATATTGTCAGGAGTAATAGCCTAATAGGGACCAGACGGGAATTAGATATTATAGTACTTGTATATAATAATTGTAGGAAAAAATATTCCCTGTGATATATCTTCATAGGAAAAAGTATCAAAACGGATTATTTTCAACATTAAAAAACCAAGATTATCTGATGATGTCTGGTGATGGCAGGCATGACAGCATGGTTCTTAGTGCCAACAACTTCGCAGGGCCACGTGTTATGCCTACACCATATTTTTCTGTACAGTTCCATCATTCATTTTACACTGTTGTTATATAATTTTTTTTTTATTCTCCCTTTCCTATTATGTAATTGCAGAACGAATATTCAATATATTAGTGTACCACATAAAAACTCATTATGACAATGGCTATCGGACGTCTATTGCATCGGAGAAACGACTTGTGGTAAGCCAAATTCAATGTTATTTCTTGCAATTTTTCTATGATGTCTTACATTGTTTTTTTGTAAAGATTCTTCAATGTTTTCTCAGTCTGCGAGCTGACAACGTCAAGGGCTTGTGCAAGACAAAAGTGGAAAAGTCAAATTCACTTCGTATGTTAATTATTCTGAAAAGAAAACGTTGGTTAATGATGATAGTGCAAGGCATGTCTGGTATTCTGCTTCAAAATTCCTTTTCTTGTTAGTGTAATACATTCTCATTTTTGTTTTAGTTCTGCAGAAGATAAGACAACCGGTAAGACAATCATACCATACGATAACCATATCTTACCATAATAATATCACACCATACCATACCATAACGAAATCATACCATACCATAACCATGCATATCATACCATAATTATATCACACCATACCATAACCAATTTATACCATAATTATATCATACCATACTAATGATTTAATTGGATATTTTATTGTAACACGTGCAGGTAATAACGGAGCTGTGTACGTACCACATTTTTGTTGGTCAAGATGAACAGGTAAGAATCTGCGGGACTTTATTTTCAGCGGTTGTCTGTTCTTGCTTAAACGTTGTTGTATATTTCGTCTAGTGTTGTCTAATGCGTACTTGGTTGCTCATTTCGCGACGTTAAGCGTATCTTGTCTCACCATATGTATGTTAGAAATGCCTTCAGTTATGGCAAGGTATGGCTACTTAAAATAGTCTGGAATTTGAGACGTTTTATATGTCCATTAGCACTTTGTAAGAATGAAGTTGATTTAAGTAGTTGCAGCGTTTTAGAAGTTTATTTCTTTGGAGATATTTGAAATCGTGCCTTGATGATGTGCTCAGTGAATTTACAGAAACGTTTTCAATAAACTCCAGCCTAAACGTAACGTCTCTTGTGATGCGAGATACCCCTTCACAAATATATGATTTTTAAGTAATAATTACTAAATTTTATGTCCTTAGACTGCTCCCACAATATCTGGAAAAGTTTACTAAACTTCGCCAACGACTCAAGTTGCCATACCACTGCTAGAATTTCCCTCTGGTATGTTTCTTGAATTTACGTAAATTATGAAATCTGTTACAAAATATCAATGTACCCCCTAAAGAGAGCTAGGTTGTGTAAACACACAATCGTATTCGGCGAAAAGTTGGTAGCATTCTTTTAAATCGTTTAAATCGCATTGTAACAGCTTTGTGGTTTGTACAAAAACTTCACAGCGATCCAGTTGAAACAAGTCTTTGGAATATGTTTGCCTTACACAGAATCATCGAAGTTGGCTCAACGCGATAACATCTGAAACTTTTATTATTGGTTTGTGTCAAAATGATTAAAATATAAACGAACTGATATGTTTCACCTTAGATACTATCAATACACTGTAGCTCTTGCTGATAATGTCATTCCATCCTGGTTTGTCAACTGTCCGCTATTGTTAAGAAAACAATTCGTGCCATTTATTACGAAAGTAAGTCGACATGTCATTCTATTGCCACGGGGATTGCTTGCTGAACTTTCAATAGATGTATTTGCAAGAGCGACCAAGTTTTAATATTCTTCTAGTGAAAGCTCTTAGGAACGTATTTGTCATTTCCAGGCTTCTTCAACTGATAGCAAAACTCGTGCAGATGATTCTAGCTAGGTGCCAAACACAAAATTCGATACCAAAGCATCTGACCTTCTTACCCGCGATTTAAAGGCCACTAGCACCGTATGCTCAGTACAGAAATCTTGTGACTCAAACATCTTGTGACGACCAGCGGTGGGAAAGACTGAGATTTATGAAAGTTTAATTCCAAAACAACTCTTTGGTAAGTCC